GGGGCGGGGCGGGGGCGGAGCTCCACACATCTGGGCGGGGCCAGGGCGAGGAGGCAACCCCGCCCCCCCAAGCCCCACTCTGCACCTTCGAGATACTTCATCGGTACATCTGCGCCAAATCACCTGCCCCTTTCCTACCTTCCTGCCTCTTCGTACCATCGGGGTATTTTTTTTTTAAAAAAACATACATTTGTTGTCCCCCTCACTGATGTCCACGGGCCAGTACCTGCCAAGGGTGCAGACAGTTGTCGCTGTCTTCGGAGGTTGCACCCTCTCCTCTCTTTGAGGGTCTCTCCACCTCCCCTCTCACCGCTTTATCATTTCTGCAGTCGTTTGTCTCTCTCCGACATCTGTTTATATCTTAATCACGTATTTCAGTTTGTATTTCCGGGACACACACACACGCACACACACGCACATATTTATATTTCACCCCTGTACCATTTTTCTTGACCCTTCCCTTCCCCTACTTGTTTGACTTTTTAAGGATTTTTCTCGAACAGTCTCCTGAGAGTGACTGCTCTTTAAATGTTCATCTCCTCACAAGTCGGGGCCTGTGTTTTGGTGATGAATTGGGGAGGCGGTGTCTGTCCTAAGGACTTTGGGGAAAAGTTAGAAATGGGGGGTCTGGAGAGAGTTTCAGGGAGCAAATGAGGGGATTTTAATCTTTTGAAAACGTTTCTAGGTTCCCATTTTTCTAAAAAAAAAAGGGGGGGGGAGAGGGGGACCCTGTCCCCATGTTTTGAAGTCTGTGCCAATCCTTAGGCAGCACTAAGTTGCAGGTGTGTCCTCCGCCCCTAAGCCACCCCAAAGTGGGGGATTTATTCACCCCACTGCAGCAGAGGCAGCAGGCACTTTCATCACTGAATCTCAGAAACCCAGTTGTGCGGCTCAGCTTTGTTTCCCTTGGTCTTTCTGGAAAAGAACTGGGACCGACTAGGATGCAGGATCACCTGCCCGTGGGGAGGACGGAAGGTCCCGGAGAAGTGGAATTTAGTGTGTGCTCTGTGTCTAGAGAGTGGCGGAAGGGGGTTGGACAATCAACTTACAGAACCAGGGTCTCCTCTCCTGCCACAGACCTGCTCCTCTCAAGTGTAAATTAAAACTAAATGCACCTGTTGTGAATTAGAGAAACTTTTATCCAAAAGATGTTTCTTTTAGCACCAGTCCTCCTGTGAGGAGATATCCTGAGTCAGATGGAGAGGAAATTAACTCAGTGGTTCTCTCTGTTGTGAGCATTTATTTTTTCTCAAATACTAGAGGGAAATTAAAACCCTGTGGCCCATTAACATTAATTTTATGGACTCAGTAGGTTGTCAGCATGCTGACATGGCCACTGTCCGGACTTCAACGGCCTCAGGTGCCCAGCCCAGGGGAATGACTGCTGATTGTCGGTCTGTCCTGGCTTCCGGTCCCTGGAAAAAGCTGGAGTAATAGCTGTCAGTGATGATCTTGTCAGTGATGATCTGTAATGGAGACGCAGAAGGTGGCTCGCTAATACATGGGACCCTCAGCTGAACTGCAAAACTGCAGGCAGTTGCATCACCAGGGTCCTCACTTGGTGGGAATTTACTGTCTGCTCTGCCTTTCAGTTAACAGCCACTGAAAGAGGGAGGTTATAAAAAAAAAAACTTTTGATGTGGAATATGTTTTTAAAAAAATTAGTTCACAAGGTAGAATGCTAAGCTAAAAATCCAGGTTTCAACTGTGACTGTCTTTACCCCATGAATTTACCTTTACCTTTCTGTGCTTTCTCTCTTTTTTTCTATAGAAAGGCACTAATGATAATTTTTGACACTTTCCCTACCCAGAGATAACAGAAGGATGCTACAGTGAATATTAAAGTACCTTGAGCTCCTTAAATAAGAGGTGCTAAGTAAACACAGAATCTACTTCCACGAAAATCTAGTATTCTGTCCCTCACTCATCCCTACTAATTCTATATTGATTCAAAGACAATGAAATTTAAAGGAAATGTTCAGCAAATAAAGGTCTGTGTCTGTGTATTCTAGAGATGTGTGTGGCAAATGTTAACAGAATGACATGAAGACCATGAGAGTTTGTTGGGGGGTGGAGGGGATAAAGAGACTATTAAACTTTTATGTGACCACAAAAGACTTTTCTCTGTGTCCTGCTTGAACAGCGCTCTTTGAAGAGAGTGGTAATGTTGCTGAACGAAATCTACTAATGTCTCCTTTGGCACTTGGTCTTTACCTGGAACCCATGCTGCTCACTCCTTCGGCCCCGCTGGGAGTGTTGCTTTGATTTCAAGGCAGAGTCCAAGTCTCATCTTCCTGGGACATACCCTGAGCTCAAAGTGCAGGCTTTGGACTTTCGGCTCAGTCTGCACGCAGGCATCCAGGGCGCTGGGTCTTAAATGTGGTTCAGCCTCCAAGCCCTGACCCCGGGTCATTGAAGCCACCTCCAAGTTTCTGACCGCCTCCAAGTTTTATCCATAAATTTCACGTAGATGAAATCAGGTCAGTCCAGAGCAATCTCGAGAAATCAGGGAGCTAAGAGCCTCAGTGTCAGAAGGGCAGAAATGAGGTAACCCCAGACACTGCCCCTCTTTTCCACCCCCCATTTTTCTCCACTCCCTTCCTGCTGCTGTGTTGCTGCTTGTAATGGCTGTTTTCTTCCCAGCTCTTCAATTCAAACATTTCATTTCTGCTGTTCACAGGCCACATATACCTGTGTGTATATGCAAATATCTACATAGTATATAGAGCTTACACTATACAGAAACACATTATATCTACACATTTTGGATAAGTATAGAGTATATGTGCTGTGTACATACCACATCCAGTTTATATAGAAGATGTCCAAGTTTCGAGAGACCACCTCTGGTTATCTCAATGTAACCTTTGAACCAGATTGCTGTCCATAGACTGAAGCTTAGTCTTATCAGTGGTCAAGGAAGGCCACCAAGAGAAAACAGGAGCCCTGGGGCAAATCAGGCTGGGAGCAGGAGCGTGTCCAGAGGAGGGTGGAGGCGAGTGGCCCCCTGGACTACATGTGACCCCAGTGTCAGGTGTGATGACGAGTGATGACACAGTGGGGAGGCGGCCTTCCCAGGCCCTTTTATGGCCATTCTAATTCTTTCTGTGATGCTCCAGAAAACACATTTTCTAGTCGGGAGTTATGATAAGAAGAAGCCACCATGACTCTGCAAAGTCAAGCAAATGAATACACACCCAGCAGCCACTTGATGCTTCACATCCAGGTACCCACAGTTGGTGTGGCCAATGAGCAGATGTGCGTGGACAGAGGACCTCTTTCAGGTAGCCACTGACCCCAGGAGCTCTATGGTCAGGCTCCCTGTCAGTCCACGCACCTGTCTCCTGCTCAGAGCAAAGCAGCTATAATCCAGCTTCTGGGCTGGGTTGGTGAAGCACAAAGGACCTGCCACCTCCCGTGTTTGTTTGCCTCATTTCAATGACAAGTTTATTCAGGACCAGCATGATACTTAGGTCATAAAGTGGCTGGTTTTGAAATCAGTTTTACTGAAACTGCCCTGTGATCGAGCCATCCCACTCTCGGATGCCTATCTGAAGAATATGAAGTCATTAACTCAAAGTGTTCTGTGCGCCTCATGTTCACTGCAGCATTCTTCACAATAGCTAAGATGTGGAAACGACCTAAGTGCCCGCTGATGGACTGAATACAGAAGCTGTGTATCCACGAATGGAACACTACTCAGCTACAAGGAAAGATGGAATTTTGCCGTTTGCAGTAAAATGGAAAGGGGGTAACATAAAGCAAAGTCAGAAGGAAAAAAGATAAATACTGAGCGATCGCAACTACGAAGAAGACAAAGCAGATGAACAAACCAAACATACACCAGCGGTCTGTGGCAATGTAATTGAGTTACCACAGGGGGAGAGCAGGAACAGGGTGGAGGGGGTCTAATGCTGTTTTTTTCAATTAACAAATAAACAAATCTCAGCAGAATTTACATGCAGTTAAAAACTCACCTTTTCTAGGTCACAGATCTTTAAATCCTCGCAAATACATGTTGTCACATCACCACCGCCATCCCCAAGCCTGAACATTCCCATCTTGCAAATGGTCCCTCCTGGTCCTTTGAAGTCAGTGGCTCCCCCCACACAGCCCCCAGTATCCTCTCCTCTGTCCTGCCTCTACGTTTGCATTTTCTGCAGTGAATCGAATTACACAATGTATTGCCCTCTAGCCTGGCCTCTTCTATAGCCCATGATGCTTTCTTGCCTCTGCACGGACCAGTAGTTTGTTCATTTTCATTGCTGAGTAGTATTCCTCTGCCTGGATGTGCATAGTTTATCCTTTCACCAGTTGAGCAATTTGGGTTATCCAATTTGGGTGGTTACCTATAAGCCCACAACAGCCCTCTGCATACAGGCTTTTGTGTGCACATGGGTTTTATTTTTTCTGGGGTAGATTCTGTGTATTTATGGCACAGCCAAGCAAGAGAGCTCCCATTGCTCCCTGTCCTCAAGGGCACTTGATGAAAACACTTAAAAATCACTGCTAATCATGGACAGGGTTGTTTTGTTCTCTTTCTTATAAACAAGGCTTCTGTAGGTGTTGGAGCTCTCTGAAGAAGATAGCAATGAGATTAACTATTGTTTGGGGATAATTGCACTCTTAAGTTATTGCTTTTCCCCCTAATTATTTAATTTAAACTTTTATAAACAACATC